GAGCGGTATGTGTCTGTTGGTTTGATGTCAGTGTGGCCCAGATGCAGGGATGGAGCCCAGTCTGGGTCAGTCTCCATCATCTCATATGCGGGTTGACCTGCAAAGTAGATGAAAGGTTGAGTGTTTAACACATCTATTCAAAACACTATATAAAGCACCTTAATAACAGAGCCCATTAGATTAGATGTGTTATAAAATAAGATATGCTTATGTTTCCCACAGTGGGGAAATTTGCTATACCGAAAAAGCACAAGTACATCGGACTAGTAAGGCCAGAGGTAAATAAACAAACTGAAAAGCTTACAGGACGAACAAAGGATTATAATAAATAAACTTAAGTAGATTGCACAGGATGAATAAATGCAGTGAGTTGGCTGACGAGTGGGTATGTACAGTGTTTTTATATGTACACTGTATTTATGTATATTTATTCATTAAAAATATATATATATTTGTATTGCAGATTGTGTAAATGATTATATACAGATAATGCATTATTTATTAAATTTTAGCGGTCTAAAAAAGAAATAAACAAAACAAACATCACTTTGCGCTTCTCTTCCACAGCATGTTTCAGTAGGTTTACATGAACTCCTGCAACTTAATAAGCAAACCATTTCAGCGTGTTGATTTCTATTAGTGTATATTTATAAGGACTTACCTTTGTGAAAATGCCGAGAGCAAACACGAACATGAGGAGATATTTTATGAAACGTGATGTCTTTCCTTCTTACAGCAGCGACCCACGGAGCCCGACGCCTCTTTGTTAAGTCCTCTGTCTGCGGTCCGTATTTTTTTTCCAAGTGGGGAATACGAAAAACCGTAAGGCCCCATCTGCTGTTTTCTGTTAGGAATTACTATTGCATCCTTTGACACAGCACCAGTGTCCCATTATTTCCAAAGGAAGCAACTAGAACACGTCTGCTCTCTGTTAGTTTTCTTTTGTTTGTTGCTGCTGTGTCTTCCCCACAGAAATGGCGCTAACTACCCTAAATGCATTGCACTTTTGCGGAAGTGACGTACACTGTCACAGACCGATTGGGTGATTTAACTTCTCCCTACCTTGCAGACCTGGGTCCAAGATTGGAAAACTGGACACCCTGTCCAGGATGTTTGAGACCAGGAAGAAAGGGTTCCAAGGAGACACAGGAGTATATCCTACCTGACATCATTAGGTGTGACATCAAGAGCCTCGACCTGGTGAGGGAGGTCAGGAGGTCTCTGGGGGGAGCATGGATTCTGGAGGACTGCCCTAAGGACAGGCTATATAAATCCCGGACTTCATTATCACTAAAGTTTTGAACTTTTGCCAATGCTCCAGTCTTTACTGCCATCCTGGTATTACTAAATCTGTTAGAATCATCCCAGTTTTGGTGGCCTACCTACAGATGTCATGGAGTTTGTAACAGCCTGGCTTCAATACAACCAGACAAAGCATAACCAGCAACCCCCATCCGGTCTGCTTTGCCCTCTACTCATGCCCTCTCGGCCATGGTCCAGTCCATGGAGAGACTGGACCATGGGCCTCTCGGCCATGGTCCAGTCTCTCATGGATTTTGTTACAGGTCTGTTGATCTCCTAGGGTCAGTCATAATCACCACTGTGGACCATTTCTCAAAAATTGTACACTTGGTTCCTCTATACAAGCTCGCTACAGCTAAGGAGACTATCCTGGCTAGGCAGGTCTTCCGTCTGCATGGTGTTCCGGCTGACATGATGTCCGACAGAGGCCCTCAGTTTGTGGTTCATTACTTGCAGGAGTTCAGCTCAATGTTGGGGATCTCCGTCAACCTGTCGTCCAGCTTACACCCTCAGACCAATGGTCAAAAGAAGGGCAAACCAGGAGTTTGAGACAAAGCTTCCTCTCCTCTGTGAGTCCGACCCCACCAAGTGGGTCTGGAATGTTCTCTGGGTCTAGCACACCATCAATTCTAAACCTTCCTGCTCCACCCGCGTCTCCCCCTTCTACGTGGTCTACAGGTTCCAGCCACTGATATTCACCATCAAGGAGAAGGAGACACGGGTTCCTTAAGCCCGTCTTTCTGCCCTTATATGTAAGGACGCTTGAAGGACGGCAAAGCTGTCAAGGCCCTGGCTGCTAATCATCGACGGGTTCCAGCCCCGCATGGCCAATCTGGAGAGGGTGTGGCTCTCCACTAAGGACCTACCATTGAAGGTAGACTACAAGAAGCTGGCACCCCAGTTTAACAGGCCCTTTTTCAAAACTCTATGAAAATGGAAAAGATGGATTTTTTTTGTTTTTTTTCAACATGGTGTGCACGAGGTGAAACAAACATTCATTATGTTTTCCAATGCTGTAAAAATTTAAACAATAAATTTTAATATTACTGTCAACAAAGATTTGTGTCTGTCATGCTCTGGCCTGTTTGCTCTCCCTTAATTAGTCATTCCTTTCAACTGTTGTTTTCTCTCCCTGCCTCAGTTATTACTTATTCCTCTCACTGTCATGATTGGTTACAGAGTAAACCCAATATGCAGAACACACACGGAGGCAGATGAAAAGTTTAACAAGGTTTATTGTTAACACAAGCACATGAATATTGCACTGGAACTGGTTCAGGCCTGGGGGCAGGTTCACTGGAGTCTGCAGGGATGACAGTTCAGTTAGCACAGGGACTGATGAGTTATGAGTCTTAGAGTTTGCTGAGGAATACCTTGAAGGAGTCCGGGTTTCTCTTTGAGAGAGGTAACTGTTGGGTCCAGAGACTGTTTGTTCAGCAGAGTCCAATAACTGCTTCAGCGTCTTACTTCTGACTTTAAGGGCAGACCTTGATTTGGGTTTCCAGCTCTTAGCCAAGAGCTGCAGGGGAATCCAGAGAAGAGTCTTCAGGTTTGGCTCACGAGGGCAGGCTCAGCAGGTTAAGCTCATCCAGAGGTTCAAGGAGAGACAGGATTCCTGTAAGGCAAAAACAAGGAAGAGTTAGAATCTTATCTCAACTGGAGATAGCTAGATTCTCAGGTTTACTAGGCTCAGGTTGCTAACCAAACTAGATCAACACTGCGGCGTTGAGGCAAGGTCTGAAGGCAGGTTATATAGTGGAGGATCCTCTGATGATGAGATGCGCCACAGGTGTGTTGGAGGCTCAGCTCAGGAGGATCCACGGCGCACTCTGCTGGAGAAAGGTGGTACAGCTCCAGATCCCAACACTCACCTGTTTCCTCTTGGTTATATTCAGTTCAGCCTGAGCATTCAGTGCCAGATCATTACTTGTCTTTCTGTTAGTCTGTCTGTTCAGTTTTTGCCTTGGTTCATGCCCTGGATCCTGGCAGCCAGTGGAAAGAGGGTTTTTGTGTTTGTCTCGTCTCGTGATCGTCCACTGTTCCTCCCCCGAGGAGTCCTCTGGGTTTTTGGCTCTATATGTGGGGGGGGGGGGGGGGGGGGGGGGGGGGGGTCAGTTTTTATCTCAGTAAGCCTGGCTCCAGGGAGGAGACCAGTTTAAAGTCCAGCATCAAGTTCTGGTTCCAAGTCTTGTCTCAGCTACCCTCTTCCACTAAGCCTGCTCATCTGCACCTGATCCTGCCTGCTCCTGTGCGTGACCACCTGGTCATGCTTTCGGACCCTATCAGACTCTGAACCCTCCTGGGAGCCTGTGGATGCCTGGAAGTCTGGATCCTGCCACCTGTTTCTGTTCCTGTCTGATCTGGATCCTGTCCCTGTCTGTTCTGGATCCCTGACCAGGATCAGCTTCCAGTGTGTCATCTGGAACTGCAGCACTTGAGGACATTCTAGGACTGGACTGTTAAACCAGGTAAGTGGCCAACTCAGATAATCATCTTCTGTCAGATGATCGTGGTCACTTACCTGTGTTTCTCCTGCAGAGTGTTTGTGATTGGGCGGTGCCCCGCTCCCCATCCTGCAGTGTCCGATAAGGGCTGTATGATGCCTTATTTTCTCTTTGCAAAGATCTAATAAAACGTGGACTGAGTGAAATCTATTAATCTCCGCTTATTTAACCCACAACACCACCAAGTTGGGAGTGAGAGAAAGACTGCAATTGCAGAACTTAAAAAGAATTATTCAAAAGTGGATTGTATCTCTATAATTTCTATAATTTCTGCTTCTATAACTTCATCAATGCAACAAAACGATATACATTAATATAGTAATTGAAGTTAAACTTAAAGCACTAAATATCGTAGGGCAGAGTAGTCACGTTTGCTCCAGGATAAACATTTAATCATGAATGCTTATTATATATTTAAGCCCACGTAGTTTTATAGTGGGCAAATACACTGTTGCCATACAGGGCTTATATAAGACTGACATTTTTTGTGGCTTTCAGACAGATTTGTTTCTATATATTATTCGACAATCTTAATTGTAAATGCAAAGACCTGCAGAAAACCGATCTTTCAGTCAAATTTTCAGTTTTCTTCTTGATATTTAGACCAGACCTGGAGAATGGTGTGATTGACATCCTATATCAATTACCTCTGTGAGGATTCACTAGAAATTTGTACCAGTCCACCTGGCAACACAAACTTTGTCACACTCCACAGTTATGTTTTAATGACATCATCAGTAGCCCTAGCCAAACCCCTTTGTGTGATTGGATTGTGGTTACAGACCAGTAATCCAATCAGAAAAAGCTCTGCTCAATTGATATTTCACTGCACTTGCATAAATTCAGACGTAATCCTTCACTTTTAGATGGAGGATCACAACTCTGTTTCTCGTTCTTCCATATGAAGTACTCATTACTTAACTTGTTTGTTTCTACACAGTTTTTTTTTTTTTTTTTATCTATGACTTTAGGCAGCCTTTGGCCTACTTGTACTAGGTAGTGAATTGTAAGCTTAAAATAAACCACTGTACCATACAATGAGGACCTAAAGGTTAGAACCCAGAGTCAATGTTTTTTTTTATTTTCAATTATTTAGATATAGTAACTCCTTCTGTTCTTGTTTATTTAGTTTCAGGAAATGATCTTTGGAGTTAAACCAACTTTTAATTTATTCTGTTTTTTTCAATACATTAGTCTGACCTTAGATTTGCAATTTATCCTATACATTGTCCTACAAGAAAACTTATGTGTTTTAATGCGTATATGAGATTTCTTAGTGTGTTTTTAAATTTGTCATAAATAGAAAAAATATTGATTCCAAAAATGTTTTTATAACCAGAAAGAGTTGTTTGTAACAAAGGATCAGCAGTTTTCTCTTTTCTTCCATGGTTTAGCTTCCCTCTATCGAAACTCATATTTTCTCTTCCAAACTTTCTGCTAATAACTATGTGATCTTATATTTCAGTTATTGCCATATAATTTCCTGAATGATTCTACGTTTTTATCCTTAGACAAACAAAGATGTTCTCAGTGACTTACAGAACATGTTACATGTCCCCATTTAGGTTTGTTATGGATATTATCTGCCTGGTCATCTCTGCTTATTTGGCTGCCTAAATGGATGAGGGTTTTAATGTAACTCATATAATTCTTGGTGGACACGTGGAAGTGGAAAAGTACAGATATCTTTATTTTGTGATTATTCTTTCCGTATATTTTCTCATAATAAGCTGTAACTCCACTATAGTGTGTCTGATTTGGACTCACCAGAACCTCCATGAGCCTATGTACATCTTCATTGGGGCTTTGTTAATCAACTCTGTTCTTTGGAGTACTGTTATCTACCCTAAACTTTTGATTGATTTTCTGTCTGAAGAGCAGACCATATCATACTCAGCTTGTGTTTTGCAATTTCATATGTTTTACTCTTTGGGTGGGTCAGAGTTCTTGCTTTTGGCAGCTATGGCCTATGACAGGTATGTTTCTATATGTAAACCTCTGCAATATCCAATTATTATGAATAAATCTACTATCAGTATTCTGCTCATTTTAGCTTGGATTCTGCCAGCCTCCCAGGTTGCAGTACCAGCTGGACTGAGTGCTAATAAACAACTCTGTAGCTTTACCATAAGGAACATCTTTTGTAATAATACACTTTACAAACTGCAGTGTGTCATCACAAGAGCACAAATTATACATGACATGGTGATTTTAGCAAATGTTGCACTTCTGCCTGTGTTTTTCATACTATTCACTTACACACGTATCCTTAGAATATCCTACCGAAGTAGCAGAGAAGTGAGAAAAAAAGCAGCACAGACATGCTTACCCCACTTAATTGTTTTGATAAACTTTTCCTGTTTGTGTGCATTTGATGTTATTACAGTTCAGCTGGATTCAGATTTTCCAAAGACTTTAAGGCTAATTATGACTTTACAGTTAATAATGTATCATCCTCTTTTCAATCCAATCATGTATGGGCTGAAAATGAAGGAAATATCAAAGCATCTGAAAAGATTGTTCACTCGGGCAAAATAATGCTGATATCCAAACACTGCATTCATTCCAAACAGTAGTGTTGCAATTTACATTGATATATTATTGTGGGATAGTTAATTTATCTCTTTTAACCAGTCAAGTGTTTTGATGGTCTTTGTAAAATAAATTATTAAAATTCAAATAAAATGATTTCATTCCTTTTTTAGTATCACATATTAAAAATGTATCAAAGCTTTAAATCCTTTGTCCTGACATTTATGGAAATTGTTTCATGCAAAGAAAATATAACAAGTGGTTGTTTTTTAAATCTCTGATGTGTTATAAAGAAAATTAAGCTATTCTCTAATCATCACATGATAGAAACAAACTTAAGATGTAAAGAAAGGACATCTGATGTTTAAATTGTGCAGTTTTAGATATCAAAAATGTCCTTGAACTTTTCTCTGGTCTCATTCATTAAATAGGCATATGCAAAACAATCCTGCTTAGGTCGATTTCAACAAAAGGTTGTGATGTATATTAAATAATTCAATTCAATTCAGTTTATTTATATAGAGTCAATTTACAAGACATCATCATCTCAAGGCATTTTACAGAGACAATTCAACCTGATCATACTGTGAGATTGGTTCAAAGTTTCCTAAGGAAAACCAGCTGATTCTATAGACTCATTGACTTGAAGGAGATCCCTCATACCAAGCATGCATGTGGTGACAGTGGAGAGGAAAATCTTCCTTTTAACAGGATAGAGGAAGCCGGCAGACCAAACCAGCGCATTCAGCTCGGCAAAGAACTCATGCTCTTCCTCAACACTGAAGTCCTCAGACATTTTTCTTTCGTTGTTTCTTTCTTTGCACAGGTAAACAGCAAATTTCTTCTTCTACGCTTGCATTATTGGCAGAGCAGACGCTGAATGAGCACTTTCATCTGGTTTGGTCTGCCGGCTTCCGTAGCGTCGTGAACGCGCATGTGCGCGCTTTCAGGAAATCCTATACACTACTGTTTATGCTCTAAAAACATTCTAAATGACTTCGTTTCGAGTAAATTCTGGATGCTACCCACTCAGGACACTTGGAATACATTGGACGAGCAGTATGGAGGAATATTGACATGTTTTTTGTGGACTTTTATGGACCTTTCTGTCTCGGTCACCATAGACCTCCATTATTTGAATGTCAGCAGACAGCAAGAAGCCTCCCAGATCTCCAGATGCATTTGAGATATCAAAAAAGTACTCCAGAGTGTTGTTCAGCATGGGGGTGAGTAGAAAATGAAGGCTAATCATGTTTTGGGTGTACTATTCCTTTAAACTGGTGAGTAGTAGTAGTGTAAGTTTTTAACCTGTCAAGTTTTTTGGGGGATTTTTAACATTACAATTTACATTTTTCCAAGCACACAACAGTTTAAAGTAAAGTTTAGTTTGAAAAGAATGTGCAAGAAGGATTGAAAAGCATGTTAACACGGTAATGTCGGCTTGAGTTCATTATCTGACACATGCAACCTGTAAACTTACTGAATTACAAAAAAAACATTTAAAAAAACAAACATGTTTCATTGATATATATACAAAACTGAATATTAGGCACTATATTTATCAAACATTATACTAGGCAAGTAAAAATTGTTTCTGGGTAAATAAAATGTGAAAGCTTGACCTGTGAAAGTCTTTCACAGGTCATGTGACCTGTTGACCCAAAATCACTTTGAAATTGTTCTACTAGTCTCTGTAGATGAGGCACACTCATTTGTTTTTCATTCTAACTCCTTTTTTATTTTTTAGCAATTTTTTTAGTCAAAATTGAGTATTTTTCATCAATAGCTCCCAGGTCATGTGACCTGTTGACCCAAAATCACTTTGAAATTGTTCTACTAGTCTCTGTAGATGAGGCACACTCATTTGTTTTTCCATTTAACTCTTTTTTTTTCAGAAAATGTTTAATGTTTTTTTTCAATAACTTTCATGTAATGTGACACAATTACTTCAAATCAATGTGAAATTATTCAAGTACATTGGATAGATCTCACATACTTTTAATGGTATACAAAGTTTCACTTTCCACAAATATTTTCGAATTCTTTCTTTTTTAAAACAATAATAAACAAAGTGCAAAGTTTGCATATTAAAAGCAAAGTAAACATTTCCAGCTGCCTGTCTTTGCCTTTTGAAATTCTGGACTTTTTTATTTGGCAAAGGGCATGGAACCATCTGTCACAGTTGTCACACTGGATCTGTTCATAATTATGAGAAAATATACATGTTTAGCAGTATGGAACTTAGTCCTCTCCTGTCACACAGTTGGGCATTTACTTGTTGTCATTTGTCATACCTACTACCTAGAGTTCTCTCCTTTACTACTTCTAAATTTTAAATTCGACAACTCTTGACGTCTCAGCCAGTCTGTAATTCCCGGGCCAGATCCCGGGGCTTTGTAGGCCGCACACATTGCACACATAAAGTGGTCATTGAACACTATAATCAAAATGGAACCAAGAACAAATATACTGCATATACAAACAGTATATATATATATATATATATATATATATATATATATATATATATATATATATATATATATATATATATATATATATATATATGTGTGTTTATGTATTATAAGTCGAAATGAACAACATATGCACATATTGTGTACCTGATACATCAAGGATTTGCAGAGCAAGAGTTGTTCTTTCATGTTTCATTGCCTTTTTTGTTTTGTCAAAATCGACATCTGGCATGAGAGGGAATGCTTCCATCACTGCTTTTGCCATCTAAAGAAAAAACACGTTTTGTTAAAGACTGTTTATACGGCATAATAATACATCAGACCCTAAATGTGTGTATATATAATACTTCCACACATACAAAACAGGTATGTTTTTGTAAACGTAAATGTAATGAAACATCTTTGTAATGTTTGAGCATTTATAAGATGATGAAACAACTGTAATTATAAATACTGTCTGGCATGTTACACTGACCCCAGTTTTAGACTCCTCTTGGGGAAGTTTGTATTCCTCCAAGTGAATATGCACTCTTTCCACTCTTACAGAAGCCTTTGTTAACTCGCCACCGACTGTTATTTGATGTTAGACTACATTTCTCTATAATAATTTCACACTATCCATATTTGTACAGGCTGCATGGTGGCGCAGTTGCCTTGCAGCAAGAAGGTTCTGGGTTCGATTCCCAGTCCAGGGTCTTTCTGCATGGAGTTTGCATGTTCTCCCCGTGCATGCGTGGGTTTTCCCCGGGTACTCCGGTTCCCTCCCATTGTCCAAAAACATGACTGTTAGGCTTATTGGCTTCTCTGAAAATTGTCACTAAGTGTGAATGTGTGTGTAAATGGTTGTATGTCCTGTTTGTCTCTGTGTTGCCCTGCGACAGACTGGCGACCTGTCCAGGGTGGACCCTGCCTTTCGCCCATAGTCTGCCGGAGATAGGCACCGGCCCAACCGTCACCCGGATGGATGGATGGATGGATGGATGGATGGATGGATATTTGTACAATAAAAAAATTAACTCATCAGTTTACTTTGACTACAATAACTCCACAGCTGCTTCCATCTTGTTGAATAGGGTGGCGCATTGTCTCCCCTTTTCATCGGATCGCAACCCAGTCTGTTTTCCCATGGCATGTCCTTCTCATCATGAAGTATTCTCTGAATAACAAAGAAAATTATTTGTAGAAGAACAATTATATTAAGTAATTCCACTCATATGAAAACTGATGTTTTCCTCTTACAGGTGCTGGTCATAAAATTAGAATATCATGAAAAAATAGATTGATTTCAGTAATTCCATTTAAAAAGTGAAACTTGTATATTATATTCATACATTACATACAAACTCATATATTTCAGATGTTTATTTTGTTTAATTTTGATGATTACAAATGACAACAAATGAAAATCTCAAATTCATCATATCAGAAAATTAGAATATTACTGAAGACCAATAAAAACAAAGGATTTATAGAAATGTTGGCCAACTGAAAAGTAAAAACATGAAAAGTATGAGCATGTACAGCACTCAGTATTTAGTTGGGCCTCCTTTGGCCTGTATTACTGCAGCAATGCGGCGTGGCATGGAGTCGATCAGTCTGTGGCACTGCTCAGGTGTTATGATAGCCCAGGTTGCTCTAATAGTGGCTTTTAGCTCTTCTGAATTGTTGGGTCTGGTGTATTGCATCTTCTTCTTCACAATACCCCATAGATTTTCTATGGGGTTAAGGTCAGGAGAGTTTGCTGGCCAATTAAGAACAGGGATACCATAGTCCTTCAACCAGGTACTGGTAGCTTTGGCATTGTGTACAGGTGCCAAGTCCTGTTGGAAAATGAAATCTGCATCTCCAAAAAGTTGGTCAGCTGCAGGAAGCATGAAGTGCTCTAAAACTTCCTGGTATGTGGCTGCGTTGACCCTGGACCTCAGAAAACACAATGGACCAACACCAGCAGATGACATGGCACCCCAAACCATCACTGACTGTGGAAACTTTACACTGGACTTCAAGCAACGTGGATGAAGTGCCTCTCTTCTCTTCCTCCAGACTCTGGGACCTTGATTTCCAAAGGAAATGCAAAATTTACTTTCATCAGAGAACATGACTTTGGACCACTCACCAGCAGTCCAGTCCTGTTTCTCTTTAGCCCAGGCAAGACGCTTCTGACGCTGTCTGTGGTTCAAGAGTGGCTTGACACAAGGAATGCGACAGCAGAAACCCATGTCTTTCATACGTCTGTGTGTGGTGGTTCTTGAAGCACTCACTCCAGCTGCAGTCCACTCTTTGTGAATCTCCCCCACATTTTTGAATGGGTTTTGTTTCACAATCCTCTCCAGGGTGCGGTTATCTCTCTTGCTTGTACACTTTTTTCGACCACATCTTTTCCTTCCCTTCGCCTCTCTATTAATGTGCTTGGACACTGAGCTCTGTGAACAGCCAGCCTCTTTAGCGATGACCTTTTGTGTCTTGCCCTCCTTGTGCAAGGTGTCGATGGTCGTCTTTTGGACAACTGTCAAGTCAGCAGTCTTCCCCATGATTGTGTAGCCTATAGAACTAGACTGAAAGACCATTTAAAGGCTTTTGCAGGTGGTTTGAGTTAATTAGCTGATTAGAGTGTGGCACCAGGGGCCATCAATTTTGAACC